GTATTTTCAAATCTTTGGTAGTTTTTTTTTTTTTTCCTGAAATGTTTGATGCATCAGTACCTCTTGTAGTTTTGAACTTGCCCTCCTCTACCCAAATGTTTTAAGTACCTTAGCCCAGAAAATATTGCTGATCATCGATCTGGGTACCGATTCCCATTTATTAAACAGATTCCTCTCTACATACAGTTCTCTCAAAAGTTGCATCCAACGACTACATTTCATAGAAAGATAATGGCATTTAAATCATTTGTATCTAGTTTTCTAAAGATAGCATTCTTAGTTTCACTCTGTCAAATGTATTTTTCTTCCACAAAGCAGGGAGCTGAAGTTAATGCTTAACTAGGATAAACTATATAAGCCTCCAAAATCAGTGTATTCACGTTTTCCTCTTTTTTCCATTCTCTTTAGTAGACGTTATATCTGGGCATTTTTGAAAGGTGTGGTTCAGAGTATTGCTTTGTGTTAACCATACCTCGAATCTATTTGAAGTCAACTTTCTCTCACACAGTTATAATTTAAATACATTAGCATAGTCCTTACGTTCATTAGAAATCTTTGTTGGTTTATATATTAAAACATGCTTAATCACTTGGAAGTAAACTACATGGCACTAAATAGTTTTAAAATTCTGAGAAAACAGTGACTACATTTTTTTTTTCAAATTGACACATTTAAAAATCTTATTTTGAATATGTTACATCAGATTCCCATCTTACATGGGTAAATTGCAGTTGGACCAAGATTTAGGAAAATGCATATTAATAAAATCTTTACACTGTGAATATTCTATTCTTGCTCACTTTTTTCTTACTTTTTCACCTGCCATTACTTATTTTAGGTTGAGAAAAAGTCAGCAAACATCACTAAGGCTTAAAAATAGGAATTTCCCCTTTCTCTATCATTTCCATTTTCTGATTCATTTCATGTATACAGCTTTACTGTGATAATTCATCACCTGTTTCAACCACTATTGTGGGTCCTAACGCATGTAAACTCGTGTCCTTTCCATCCTGAGTGCAAAAATCTAGGATAATGATGTTGGGAGGAGGTAAATGTGACTCCCAAAATGCTGCTTCTGAAGACAACTTAAACACCGTTTTATAGCTGGTGCCCAGGCCAACTATTAATAATGCCTCCTTTCAATCTTAAACAGGTCCTGATTTGGACTCTAAAAGATATAATCAGCTTAATTATACAAGTTTAAAGGCATCTTAATCTTGTTAAAGAAAAACTAAAAATGAAAAGGTTCTTACAAACGTGACTGTGGAGTAAGCACTCAGAAATTCGTATTTCTCTACAGAGGTAGAATAGTACTTGCTCTGGAGTTGGATTGCTAGAGTTAGAATCCTGGCTTCACCACTTAACCATGAAACCGTGAGCAACTTACACGATCTCTCTTTGCCTCAGTTTACTTTATCTGTACTGATGGGAATAAAACAGTACTTAAATCAGTTTATTTCTATTAAGGATTAAATAGAATGTAATACTTAGCACTGTGCTTTGCATAAATTCTCAGTAATTGGTAGGTATCTTTAGGCCACACTAAAAAAATACTATTCTCATTTTCATTTCCCTGGTCAACTGAAAGTATCTTTCCCTAAAAGCAAAACATCACGTGGGTTGCTTCAACGTATGTTTGCAAAGCTATTACTCTGTAAAGCATTTTAGGATAATGCTGCACAATGTTTAAAATGGGTGAGATCACCAAAGACCAACATAATTTCATATCTGGGGCTCCTGGGAAGACCAAACTGACCTGTCACTCTCAAACTCAATACTTTTTCCCACCCATGGCAATCAGGTTGCCGTTCCACAGAACTCTGGCAAATGTCACCAACTGTATGGAAATCAGCGGAATCCCTTTAATCCTCATTGCAGCATGCTGTGGTTATTTTTTCAAAAGATCTAGCTTGTCTACCACTACCATGGCTCGTTTATGTTTTGTTCTTTGCAGTCTGTCTGGCCTTTATGTGCTGTTAGCAGGTATTTGGTCCACCTTTCTTCTCACTTAATCCTGTATGATCTTACTGGCCTTAAGCACCACCTCAACGGACAGCCAGATACATACTTCTGGTCCAGGCCAATCTCAATTCCAGACTACCATATCCAACTGTAATCTCTAAGCAAATTAGATGTCCTATAGGCAGTTCATTATCTTCTGCCTCTAGAACTCCTCTGTTTCTTATTCCGGTTAGAAGCACCCTCGCCCAAATTGAAGGCATCTAGTTAATTCCGTCTATAGACTTTACTTCTGTCTTCTAAATCTGTGCCCTTACTTTATTTTCACCATACCCAAAGCTCAAGCCCAAATCACCTGTTCCCATGAATTTCTATGCTTTAGAACTATCCTGGCAGCAATGCAGAGGATAGAGGGAATCTGTTGAAACAGGTAGGAAGGCTACTGCAAATTCAATGCTCTTCTTTGGCTTAAATCCAGTGGCTGGTTCCATATTAACTACAGGGTAAAGTCCTAAGCATCTCTTGGCCAAGGAAACTTTCCAACTTTGGGTCCTTCCTACCTTTGCAGTTGTCTTTTAACACACAACCCCTTAGGTCAAACTACTAGAAGTTTCCAGATCTTGCTCTGTAAGGTGTGATGATGTAACCCCTGTTGCAATGCAGGCCCCAATACTACTTTTTTTTTTTTGTATCTTCCAGGTTCTGCATATTTACATAAATTTTCCATCTTAGATGTTTGTACAGAGAGAAGGCAGGAATAATATCTTATTCATACTTGGTTTTCAGGGGATGCTAAATGAGTATCGGCTGAATAAAAATCCATACAGCCAGGCACCATGGCTCACATCAGTAATCCCAGCATTTTGAGGCCAAGGCGGGCAGATCATGTGGTCAAGAGTTCGAGACCATCCTGGCCAACATAGTGAAACTACATCTCTACTGAAAATACAAAAATCAGCTGGGTGTGGTGGCAGTGCCTGTAGTCCTAGCCACTCGGGAGGCTGAGGCAGGAGAATCGCTTGAACCCAGGAGGCAGAAGTTACAGTGAGTCGAGATCGCGCCACTGCACTCCACAGCCTGGCGACTGTGAGTGAGACTCTGTCTCCAAAAAAAAAAAAAATCCATACAATAACCTAAAATTCTTGTAACGAGGTTCTCTTTGAGAAACAGACACTTGGAGTTAAACTTGTAATATTATGTGATCTTAAATTTCAATTGACCAATTAATTACTAATATATTGAAAGACCTGTCAATTTACAACTTTGGGAAAGTGACTTAGATCTTATTTCAAAATATAAAGCCCCTGTAAACCTAGCACTTTGGGAGGCCAAGAGGAACACTTGAGCTCAGGAGTTCAAGACCAGATTGGGCAACATAACAAAACCCCATCTCTACAAAAAAATACAAAAATTAGCCAGGTGTGGTGGAGTGTACCTGTGGTCCCAGCTACTCGGAAGGCTAAGGTGGGAGAACGGCTTGAGCCCAGGAGGTCGACGCTGCAGTGAGCTGTGTTTGTGTCAGTTCACTCCAGCCTTGGTGAGACCCTGCCCAACCCCCAGCCCCAAGTTTTTAAAACCGATTTAAGATACTAAGTTCAATTGCTATATTAAGTTTTTGTGTCCCTATTTAACTGGTGGCAATGAGAAGAGAGTATGATTTAGCACTTTCTAGATCACATCTCACTTTCTGGATCGCATCTACTTTTTCTATGCACTGTGTGATTAGCTTTTTTCTCTCAAAATTTGTGTGCTAGGATGTAAACTTGTTTCATTATTAAGGCATCTAGATAGAGGGTGCCTTAATGGGACTGCCTACACAAACAGTAAAAAGAAAAAAAATTATTCTATGTCTTCTAGAAGCTTAAAAATGCAAATTATAAAGGATGTTCAATTGAAGATAAAAGCAGTTTACATAGGATTTCAATTATCTAATTATATTTCAGAGTAATGTTGATGTGTTTGATTTCTACTCCCTATCCTCTACCCATTCAAAGACTAGGTTCCTGAATAAGAATTCCTGAATAGAATCCAAATATGAATTACACTAAATTTCTATTAAATGTCAGATAATTTATCTAAATGTCAGATAACTTACTCTCTTAAATGTCAGATAAATTAATCTTGGCAACAAACTATCTTAAAATCATAGAAAATAAGACATTGTGTCAGTAAGATAAACTAGAACAGGTCAGAAACCTTTAGGTAGAGCTTCAGCATTATGATAATCTTTGCTTCTTGATGGTTGGCTTGCAATTTTTGTTTGCAAAAATGTTTGTCTTGAGTTATTCTCAATAACCTTTGGATAGATTTTACAAGAAAACCACTTATTAGCGATTAAACATCCTGAATAGCATTTGGACAAGCATTCTTGCTCCATAACTAAAATAGATTTGGAATTCTTTCCTTCTGAAATTATAAATGAGATGATTACTTCTAGTAGTCAATATTTACCAAATTATTAACTAATTGAAAAAAGTATCTCCATGCTTTCAACCTTCAAACTGTTTCTAAGATAACATACTCTAAATCTGAGAGTATGTGATTAATGCAATCAGCAGGGCATTTTACTAGACAGATCATAAGCTCTCTCTCTCTATATATATTTATGGCATTATCTATGTTTCTTCACTAATGCTTGCCGGAAAATTCATACGAAGAACTATGATAAAATGAGAGTATGTGTCAAATGCTTCCGAAAATGGAGGTACAAATGCAAGGTGCTGTTATTATAAAATGAAATACTATCACTAACTAGCAGTGTCTTGTGAATGCTTAATATAGATTGCTATATTTTACTAGTGATAGGGAATTTGCAGCACCCCCCCCAAATGTCATGCAAGCAAAAAAGCATGAGATTTCAAAATTGCCTAACATTAAAAAATAAGTCTCTTAATTTATTTGCATTCTAAAATAGAGCCCTTCATCCTGAATCCCCTTTTCCATATAAAATGTTACTAAGTCATGTACAGGATTTGTCAAGCCCATATAACATTCCCTTTAAAATCTCAAGTTCAATCACTGTTTGTTTTCTACTATTATACTACATTTTGGCAGCAATTGTTTATTGGTCTGTCATTGCAGTAATTGCAACTTAACAATAAACCAGTCTGACATTTTAGGTCTTGAAGATACATACCATATATATTTCTTTAAAAATAATCATACTTTTTTTGTAAGCAATACTTTACAGTAGACACCTCAAAAATCTACCATAGATGTGAAACTTAAAACGAGAAAAATTTAAGTTCTAAATATTTATACATATATATCCAGATTTCTATATATATTATATATACATACATAAGTATATATAAAATATATATAATCAGATTTCAAAAATGAACAAAAACTGGGCACTGTACATAAAGTCCTTTTAAAACTCAAACAATAGAAAACTCTTTAAACATTAAACAATTTTAATAAAAGTTTCTGTACAATGCTAAGCAGTTTTATTTACACATAGAAAATGTAATAGGAGTAGTGTTTGAAATTACAGAACTCCTTAAAATTTCAATGGCAGGTAAATCTGGAAAAAATAACAGCATTCCATTCACAAATATTTTCAAGCAATAAATATGTATTTATAAATAGTGTAAATTTACATCAAGATTAGAAACAAAAATCACAAATCTGAAGTTTATTCCTTAGTCTATGTGCAATCCATTACCTTTGTGACTTGGCTGTTAATTTTTTTAATGTTTTATTTCGGAACCAAAAGTGTAACCATCATGGTCTCAAAACAAGACAGAAAAACATAAAAGCAGTAAAAAAGTGTCTTAGCTAACTTTTCACATTAAAAAAAAGTTGACCAAAGAAAGACTTAAAATTGCTAACTACCTTACAAAGAAATGACCAGCTAGGCTAGTATTTTTTTTCCAAGGAAAATTCTGAAGGGGGAAAAGACAGATGAAAACAAATTCATCAGCCCAGAAATAGAGAAATATAAAAGAGGTTGTCTTCAAGTCAGTAGTCTGTATGATGTTGCCAGTTTTGTCAGATATATACAAAACATGGAAATTATTATTTTTTTCTGAAGTACAGCTGATCAGCCTTGTGAGAGTCCTGGAGTAGGAGCAGTACTCTCTCCTGTCCAGTTGGTTGACACTCCGCACTTGGAAGGTTGCATAGACAACAGTTTTCAGCCAGCAGCCTTACGAGATAGCTACAAAAACCAGTGGTGCAGAACTGGGTTGTTTCCTGAATAGCAGAAAAGGTCTCATTTAATGTCCATGGAACAATATCAAGATGAGGCGGATGGTAATGGAGGAGCCTGAAAATAAAAGTAAGATAGGTTATTTTGGTATACAAATTGTTAATAGCTCATGGCTACAAATATATAGTCTGCTTATGAAGTTAGAGGAAATAACTCCCAATGAAGTTCAACAGCCTGCTGTACAACATAAAAGCACAACCTACCTTACTATCTCCCATTTGGCCAATTTTCCTAAGAGTCTAAGACCATTGTCCTACTCAGAGTCCTTGCAGTTTCCTATACTTCCTCACCAACTAGTCAAAAACTCTTGCAATGTTATTAAGTTTACCATTTTTTAAGATTGCTTAAAAAAGGGGGGGCTTCTTGAAAAATAATTTAACAAATTACAGTTTCACTAGTGATTGCCTTCAGAATCTATCTCAGCTAGATAATATATTTTGTTTAACATATTCCAGATAATTTTCTTCTTCAGCAGTCTTGAAGACCATTCAAGTGAAAATATCAGAAAACTAAATTGCAAAAAGTTAGTTTCTGATCACATATGTGTGGGAGACAAGTACTGGAGAAAATCAACAATTCATAAATTATCTCTGTGTTTCTATTCATAAAGCTATTGATCTGCTAGAGTAAAATGCTTCCCCCAAGCATCTGCTGTCTGAAATTAAAAACTGTGTGCAATTTATAAGTATACTTGAATTTCATAAGGTTATATAACATACCAGGAAGTTAAGCTCCATCAAATATTCCCATGAGGTTAATACTTCTGGCAAGGACAAAATTTTAAACAAATACAATTAGCTCTAAAAGCAGAAGGGTATTTAAAAGCACACTTACTGATTCATTTTTGTGGGCTCTACTAACCTACGTACACAAATATTTTATCAACCGAGATAAAATGACCTAAAGGATATGACAGTGTTTTATCTAAAGCACACAAAGATTTTTAAATGTAATTGTAAAATCATTTAGGCTGGTCTCACCCAGAAAGAAAAGTGAAAATGATACATGCCAATTTTATAGGAATAAATACTTGGAAATGGAGGGGGGAATGATATGAATATACCCTCATGCAATATGTAATGAGCCAAAGGAAAATTTAAAATATTTCATTACCTCCTACTTATCAGGTGGCAGAACAAACACTGCTGCTTCATAACCCAGCTAACTATGTACTCACATGTTGATTTGACTTACTAATGTAAATTGGTCATAAACTTGCATCAGGTCCTCCATTTTGTACTGTTCTAGCACCACAAAGTTTTCCAGGTTTCCGCTTGTTTTTCGTGCACAATCTTGGCAATGTACTATGTAGGTCTTCCGTGAATTACTCTCGGTAGTGACAAAAAGCAGATTAAAAACCTCCACCTGTTTTATACAAGAGAAAAATGTATTCAATAGAGATGGTGGTATTTACCGTACTGCTTTAGTATAATCATGAAATTCTACTTGAATGAAATTGTGAACAGTGATCTCTGGTTAAGAGTAGGTGGTAAGAAAAACACGGCTGTGTCTGAGAATCTTTAATAGACCAGGTTTATTTTGCACCAAATCCAAAGACATGGGTGGAATGCATATTTAGGGGAGTAATCAAAGGGGGAATGACATACTCATGACAGCCACCAGCAAAGCCCAGTTCAAAAGTTTGATAAAGGTCAACCTATTTTTAAATCCAAAACGCTAGTATACCATCAGATGTAAGTGATCATTTTTTTATGTATTCATGAGTACAACATGATTTTAGAAATAATACCTCTATCTTCTACAGAAAGACTGATGAGTCGCTAAGGTGTAGGTAGGATAAGGAACAACACACCTAATTGGAATCTATCTATCTCCTAATGACTTATTTTGGTTAGGTCATAAAACATTTAAAAAGTCAATGGATTCAATCATTTCAAATAAAGGCTGACATTAGAATTACAGAATTTCAAGGTTTGAAATGGACCATCAATATCCTGTCTTTGGCTTATCCTTGAATTTCTTCACAGTGACAGAAACCTGTTATGACCCCATGTCTTCTTTGAACAATTAACTACAATCCCAGAGTTCACTATGTTATCCATTACTGTCAACAGGCAGCAGCAATACGAACCTAGTGACCTGAGCTAGAAAGCTGGTGAGCATTCTTCACTTTGTACTTCTGCTTCTGCCATTTAATGAGGTGTCTTGCTGATTTTACCCTCTAAATATTTTTTGAAATTATTTCCCTTCTTTGATATTCCCATTTCCAGGTTCTAGTCTAGATAACAACTTTTTTTTTTTTTTTTGAGACAGAGTTTCGCTCTTGTTACCCTGGCTGGAGTGCAATGGTGCGATCTCGGCTCACTGCAACCTCCGCCTCCTGGGTTCAGGCAATTCTCCTGCCTCAGCCTCCTGAGTAGCTGGGACTACAGGCACGCGCCACCATGCCCAGCTAATTTTTTGTATTTTTAGTAGAGACAGGGTTTCACCATGTTGACCAGGATGGTCTCGATCTCTTGACCTCGTGATCCAACTCTTAAGACCACTGCCATAGCTTATATTGCTGTGCTTTCCAACCACTTTTCTCCCTGAAACACTTACCTTACCCTTTGTTGCCTGCTCAAAACCTTTTAATGGCTTCAATGACCTCAGAATATCAAATTCCTTAAAACCATTCAAGATGTGCTACAAACTACATGCCACCTAGACTTATGAGTAGAATTTGCACAGTCTGTGTCCCAGCCAAATTGGAACACATTCAACCTTTTCTAAAACCATTCCATTTTCCCATTTTCTTCTTGTTCCTATAGTCCATGACAGTCTATCTCCGATTCTCATCACTTTCTTAGCCTACTGATACACTCTTATTTTTCAAGGGTGGACTCGAATGTTAATACTTTTGTAAATTCTTATGCCAATACTACAAGAAAAAATTAGGTCATTTTTCCTCTCAGTACTTTTATAACAGTAAGTCCAATTTCACATTCATGATAGTCTCATGTACATTATAATTAGTTGTTTATAATCTGCATGCTCCAAGTGGAATTTAAGCTCCTTCATATTCACAGCAGCCACCACATCTTTGCTCCTACACCTCTTGCAAGCCTTGGCAACAGAAGATTCACAAATGTATTGTGAATTGCACCAGAGAGGACTGAACATAGATCTGCCTATACTGAATCACACATCCAATTTATTGGCATCTGTGTACATCTAGATTGTTTCCAGTTTAAAATCTCAGACTAAACTTGCTGATTCTCATCTGTTGAAGATCTACCATAAAAATGACTCTGTAGTAGATACTTTTAAGGTTAATTCACAGTGAAATATTGTTATTATCACACTAAATTTTAATACAATGGCTAACAACAAAGTCGAATCCAATGTTAATTACTATAAACTGCATTGCATAAAAGTATAAACAAGTTTTAAAAAAAATAACTAAAGAGAAACCAAAAGTAGAGAGGGAAGAGGCTTTATAAAACACCTGTGGATAAGAACAATTACTTACTTCACAAATGCTACAGTAATGAGCTGGTTCTTCTTTTGTCCGCCCATGCCATATAATCTCTTTTCCTGCAGCGATGAGAGCTTCCCTCAATGTCTGGCATTGCTTCAGAGTTCTTAGAAGACAATACCTATTGTGGGGGAGAAATTATTTGTGACCAGCAACTGAATATTGAATATTTTTAGCATAAAAGATATACCAACTGGAAATAATGCCAAGAGACTTTAATGTCTATGATTTCATAATTTTTTTTTCATCAATTTATCAATTATTCTCAGATTTACGAAAAAAGGCAATGCTCAGCAGACCTGAAAACTATTAAAACATTTAAAGTTGAGAAAATTGATATCTGGATATCAAAATATAATGGTCTTAATATATAAAAACTGACTCCCTGCTTAAATGTGAGTTGCTAATTTTGGCTCTTATTTGGGCAAGTCAGTTAACCTCTCTGGGAGTCAATTGCCTTACCCTTGAAATAAGGGGTGTGAATTCCAGGTCTGAACTGCTATGATTCTAATAAGGCAGGAAGGCACCTTATTTTTTATCAGCACTACCTAAACACTCATTAACAGCATCATCTGTACAGCTGCTTTTGAAACTCAAGTCTATAAGCAGAAAATATATTTATGAATTTAGTTACTACAGGACACGATATTCATTTAACTATAATAGTAAAGAAAAAAGTATGTCTTCATTTTATCTTGAAGGTAACAGAATTCATTCATATTAACATAATTGAAGTTTTCTTATAACTTATAGCTTTTCTAAACTCATACTTAGGATGCTAACAACATAGTAAATTCTCACAATTTGTACTGATTCTCTTATAGTTTTCTGTCGTTACTTGGAATTCTTTGCTGAATTCTCTTACTCTCCTGTGAATCTTAGTGGCTCAGGTTCTCCATTTGAATGGAGAGGTTGAACTAGATGATCTCTAACGCACTTTTCGGCTCTAAAATTCAGAAACAATGAAAATATCATAAAGAAAGTTTAGCAACTCAGCGTTGTCTTGAAAGCAAAGGTCTTATCTATTTTATTCCTGCTATCTACTTACCTACTCACCACCTAGGACAGTCCCTAAACATATAGTAGCCAAATCAATAAACAACTAAAATTCAAATTATAAGTAATAAAACATTTAATTTACCTTATTATTTCTTTGCTATTTTATAAGTTACTATGTTAAAGTATTGTTATTTATGAGAACCCACATATATTAATCTGGCAGTGGGTGGGGAGGCGGGGAATGACTAAATCTTTGTAAAATCTGTTAGCTTATTTAACAAACATAAACCAATATCAATTTCATAGTTGTAGGCCAATGCCTTAAGTATCATATTCAAAGATTGCACTGTCAGCTTGACTTCAACAATTCTTACATATTTAACTTATTTAGAAACAAAAACAATGCTTTAGACCAGCGGTCCCCAACCTTTTTGGCACCAGAGATCAGTTTTGAGGGAGACGAGTTTTTCAACGGATCTAGGGGGAAGGGCAGGGGGAAATGGTTTCGGGATGACACTTTTCCACCTCAGATCACCAGGCATTAGCTTCTCATAAGGAGCAAGGAACCCAGATCCCTTGAGTTCACAATAGTGTTCCTGCTCCTATGAGAATCTAATGCCACCGCTGATCTGAAAGGAGGTAGCGCTTAAGTCGTAATGCCAGCTTGCCGGCTGCTCACCTCCTGCTGTGCAGCCCAGTTCCTGACAGGCCAAGGACTGATACTGGTCTGCAGTCCAGGGGTTCGGGACCCCTCCTTTAGACTGCGGTTGTGTGTCAAGGCTAGGACAGCTATCGGTACGTGTATGCATGCCTGTACAGGGTGCCAGGTAAGGTAGCAAGTAAACATTTAGAACATGGAAAAGAGAGAAGAATATAATTCACACTCTGCCTCTAGCTCTTGAACAGTACCTGCTCCTCTCTTTTTCCCTCCCCATGTCCCATACAACACTTCTAAAGGTACAGATTTTACTGAACAAGTTTTCCAAGTAGGACTTCAAAATAAGGTCTCTTCTAGGAAAATATTGCCTAAAACTCTGTAGATACCATTGGAAGACTTCAAACTCAACTGTCCTGACACATGGTCAAACAAAAATAATAAAATAAAAGTAAATAAAAAATAAGAGCCAGACAGGAGCCATGTATTTGCTATTTCACATACATTATGCCAAGTAAGCCTCTTAACAACCTTGTGGAGAAAGGTTATCTCTATCTTACAAATGGGAAAACAGTAGTGTAGAGAAGTTAAGTTTGTCTAATGTCATAAAGCTATTTAAGCAGCTGAGCTACAGAGTTTTTAAAAGAAAACCTCGAGCTTCCCCTTACTATCTCACATTGTATCCTTCTTTTTGGTATCTTTTCACATCTTATTCTCACCCACTCCCCTTCTTTTCTTGTGAAGATGAGATTCTTGGTTGGGCTTAGGAAGTACAATTTTTCCAAACACAGAGCCTTGGTTCTGTGGAATACCAGGCTACTCGTTACTCAGCAGAGAAATTTTCATCTTCAATGACTACTTTGGCAATTAGATTGTAGTTTACAATGTATTGTTAGCTCGGTAGTTTCATCTTAGAAAAAGGCAGTATATTGATTTCCTACAAATAACAAGGGGTCAGAGAAAAGGTTGCTAAGAGTAAATACTAAGCCGTAAGTCGCCAGTCTGCTTCTGGAATAAATTCTGCTCCAAAATTTATATTTTATATTTTGTGTGATAACAAAATCTTAGTAAAGTGACAGTTCTATTTATCTTATCTGACGATGAATAACAAAATTGTGATTTCTCCTTGCCTTTACTTTTTTAACATTGAAAATGTTTGTTCCTTCTCATTTTCAAAAGGCAGCACTTGGAACAGAAGAAGAATTCAGAGAGATAGAGGCTCTTATGGAGTCCACAGTAATGAGCAAGTCCTAAAGAAAAGATGTGATTCAACTGAATGATAGGGAAAAATGGAAAGTAAAGTGATTTAGGGAAAGGATCCTAGTAAAGAAACAGATATAATATTCAGGACCTTGTTCTTCTTTGATTAGCCCCAGACAGATTTTATACAAAGATAACATTTAAGTACATTAACAAGCTAAAAAATAAAAGCTAAACAAAATCAGTGTTCTCATTTCCTCTTAATTTTAGTTTTGCTGAATTTCTGTCAGTTTACCTTGTGGTAATTAAGAATTCAATTTGCTAAAAACAGAATAAATCATTTGTAAAAGGTGTAAACACACAGGATGGAAAATGATATTTGCATACGTGCACTTTAGAAACGGCCAAAAATGGTTTTAGCAGCTATAAAAGCAGGAAATTATTTGATGTTTAAGGATCAGTATTCGTTTCAGTACCCAATCCCCGTTTTTGGCTGTTTGGATGAAAAGACTACACAAAAAGGCAGGGGATAAAGGAAGTTCCAGAATGGACGAAAACCATGAGGAAGAGGCTGACTGAGGGCTTAGCATACTTGAGGTTATGTAACTAGAATCTAATCCAACCAAAAAGTGATCTGCAAAGATGAAGCTTAAAGAGCAATAGAATTTTAGAGAACAACTTCACACAGGGAATCGAATGAAAATCCACTGGCAATATTAGAATAAGAAAACTGGATAAAATAATATGTAGACAAATTATCATGAGCCTTATTTATAGGCAATTAATGCACAATATATTCATAAATCAATACATGAGGACATTAGGCAGAAACTAAACATAGTATGCTATGGATACTAAAAGGAGAGAGGGATCATCTTCAGGTGACGGGAGGTAGAGAATCACAGAAGTTTTCATAAAGAAGTTGAAATTTCTGAATCAATTTACTTATGAAAAGAAAGGAGAGGTGGTGGAAGGCACATTCTGCACAGAAAGAATGCCACGAGAAGGTTGTATGGGGGCTTCTTTAGGGAACAAACAACTGTTCTTACAAGATTTTAATCTTAGTGTGAGGATTCTGGGGCAGGAAATAATAGGAATTAAGCCATACTAATATTACATTACATCAAAATTAAGACAACACTGGGGGTTACTCTGACATTCTAATGGCAATGTGACTCAGTTTCCAAAGTAAGTTACCAAATATCAATGTGGAGATAGATAAAATATGGGTTAATTTGGTATTGCACTTTTAAATGCTTTATGGTAACAATCTCAGCCACTGAGATGGAGCCAACAAATTAGCAAAGGCCAAGAGGTGCCTTGCTCTACCCAGTTTCCCTTACTGAAAGAGCCATGCAGGAAAAACAAGCCAACATGTGAGCTCTCTTGCCATGTGTCACTCCAGGGCTGTGTTCTCCTAGGACAACAGTGGGTATATGAATGTCAATAAGGCATCTAACAGTTTTATTTACATGAACCACATGGCTGAAAATCAAGGTCTCAGTCAATAAAATACTTATCTTAAGAGCTTTAAGCTTCTAGATGGAAAAAAAGAAAGCATGAAAGCAAATATATATTAACTATGATAATGCATTTGTAGAATTTTTAGATTTTGTTTGGTCAATGTTATCAAAAAGCATTATATATCAAACCCAACAGAGTATTAGAAGACCACCAGGACTACAGCACTAGGATTAATGCTAATTATGGACTGGTCTTTATGGCTATACCATTACCTATGCATACTGTTGGAAAAATCTTGGTCCATTATTAGGTCAAATGAGTGTGGACTAAAGAGTTTTATAACACTGTAGCTATCCATTTAAAAAAGGGAATCAAAGAGAAAAGAGAATCAATACTTATGACTTTGCTTTAATTTACATTTTAAAATTCTGTGTTTGTGATAAAGTGTATTTTATGTAGGTAAGGTAATAAGTTATAATGCATGTAAAAGAAAAGGGAACAAAAAAATTCTTAGTTCTAAAAAAGACCTAACTTGTCTGATAAGATTCACTAGGCACCATGAAAAAGGTTCCCACAGTTCTTCGCATAGAGCTCTGAAGACCTATTTTAATAAGAATTCCAGGTGATTCTTCTGATCAGCAAGTAAGAACCAATGCAAATCTCTTACTTTATAAGTGTCAAAATTAAAACCAATATCTCAGATTTGCAGCATATTTTTAAATAGACACTGATAAAATATCAACTTCAGAAATCACTGCATTTTTAGGATTAGAGCCTTTAAGAGACCACAGAAAGAGCTGTAG